GCCGCCCGCGCGCCGTCCCTGCCCGCCCGGGGCCTCAGCGCAGCGCCGTCCCCCCGCCGCCCGCCTACGCGGGGAAACCGGACTCCCCCTCCCGGCTCCGATTTCCCGAAAACTCCTGACTTGCAGATCTAAGAATGGAGTCCTTTCCAGACGCCGTCTGTCCCCGCCCCCTTCGTGCCAGCTTCTCCCACCTGAGACCCCCCGCTTTGTCCGCCCCTCCCGGCCCGGGCGCCCCGCCCCCTTCTTCGTCTTCTTCCTTCTCCCCTCCCCCTCCTTCCTCTCTCCTTCTCCTCCGCCCCCCTCTTCTGGGCCCCAAATCTGGGTTCCCCATTCTTGTGCCCCCAGACTCAGGAGTGTGGGCGCTCAGCCCCCTCCTCCTCAAGCCCCTGCGGACCCCGCCTGGCGACTCCCCACTCAGCCAGGTGGCCAAGCCCCCCAGCCTGTCCTCCCTGGGGACCTGGCATTCAGCTGTCTCTGTCCACCTGTTATTTCTCGCCCTTTAGGGCGTGCGGGCGGAATGTGGGGCGGCGGTCTGGGCCTCCCAGAGCCTCCTGGGAGCCTCCCAACTTCTTAAAAACGCTCCTCGTGGGCCCCACCTGTCCTCCCTAGGGCCCGCGAGTCGCAGCTGCGGTGGTCTGGTCCCCGGAGCGGGAGGAAGTTGCGGACATGCCTGAGGCCAAACCAGGTGGCTCCGGGCCCTGCCTCAGAGGGGATGAGGGCCCTTTTCTGTGTGGGGCTCAGGGCCTCCCGGCTCTGTGGGCTGGGGAGGATGGGGTGTCTTGTCTGTGTAGGAGAGAGAGAGGAGGTCCCTTGTACGTGTGGGGTGGGGACAGCCCCTTCCCGCTGCAGGCAGGGAGTTCATTTCTCTGCAGGGTCTGGCAGAGATGGAGATTTTCTGTAAACCGGGGTCCTCTGTCCTCCAGGGGGACGGGGCCCTGTGTGGGCTGAGCAGTCAGCGTAGTGATGGGGTTGTGGGGTGGCATCCACTAGGAAGGGGCTGGGCAGGGTGAGGGGTGCTGAGTGTTTAGAGACAGGGGTTCTGGTCTGCATGGGCACGGTGGACTTGTCCGTATAAGGATGAGGAGAATCCTCTTCCTGTGGAACCTGGGCTCCCTTGTGCAGGAATTCGGAGTCCTGTGTTTCCCTTTCCTTTCTTCTCTCCTTTCTTTCCTTCCTTTCGTTTTGACTGTGTGTGTGTGTGTGTGTGTGTGTGTGTGTGTGTGTGTGGTGCGGGGCACACAGGTACACCCAGAAAACACAGGTGCCAGCTCTACTGCTGAGCCACACCGCCAGCCCCCCAGTCCTTTCTTCTTGTCCAGTTTGGGAACCCTATTTGAGTGGGACCAGAGGCCAGGTCTTTATATGAGGATCGGGCTTTCTCTCTCCGAGGAAGCCTGGATGGGAGACCCAGGTCCCAGGACACTTGCGAGGTGTGCGGTCCCAAGGCACCTGTGGACCCTTGTGGGGTGGGGTCCAGGCCCGTGCTATGGCTGGGCCCTCTTGGGCCAGAAGCCAGCGAGCGTCCCAGGGAAGGCTGCTGCGCTCAGCACAAGGTGTCCAGTTTCCAGCCCAAGGGAAGAGCTAATTATACCCCCGGAACCAAAGGTCAGGGCCCGGTAGCCTGGGGGGCTGGGGCATGGCCGGCCCGGGATGGGGGAACCTGATCTCAGACTCTGGGTTGGAGATAGATTTACTCCTAAGATTCAGGCTTTCTGGGGCTGAGGGAGGAGGGTGGGCCCGGACCCCCGAGTCCTGGAAGAGTGGGGGCCGCTGAGCAGGCCGGGAACTGTGAGCGTCCCCTCCCTCACAGCAGCCAAAAAGGTCACCAAAGGCAAAGATGCCCCCAAAGAAGCTTCCCCTAAGGAGGCTCCTGCAGAGCCCCCCAAAGGTGAGTGGCACCCTCGGCTCAGCCAACCTGCCGTGCCCCCTGGTGCCTGCTCCCTCCGCACCTGCCTTGGCCCTGTCTCTGTCCTGCAGTCTGGCCCCCCAGGTGCGGAGGGACCAGCGCCGCCGGCAGCTTCCCGTGGCTCTCTAGCGCCCCCAGCGGAGCCTGGGCTAGCGCTGCCGTCTGGGGGCAGGTCCCGCTCCCAGGGCCCAGGCTGTCCTCAGACCTCTCCCACCCCAGGGTCCTTTGGCGGTGTCCACTCCGCCACGCTCTGGTCTCCACGTGCGGACACTGCGACCCGAAGGGCTAAGTGAGCCTGGCCAAGGTCACACGGCCTTCCGAGCCATGCGTGCTCTTCCCCGGCCGGGAGACGGCTCTCTGCCCCGTGACCTGTGGTTTCTGAGCAGGGGCCCCTCGCAGCTCTAAGTCCCTGCCCCCAAAGTTGCCTGCTACCCCTCCCAGCCCACTCCGACTTCCCAGTCCTGTCTCCTGCGCAGAAGCCCCACCCGAGGACCAGTCCCCCACCGCTGAGGAGCCCAAAGGCGTTTTCCTGAAAAAGCCCGACTCTGTATCAGTGGAGGCCGGTGAGGGGGCAGGGGGGCAGGGCTGGGACCCTGGGTCGGAAGGAGGAGGCAAGGCCTGGAGCCCCGGATGTGGGGGAGGAGGACCTGCGTCTGCAAGCTCGCAGTCCCCTCCTGAGCGCCCTGCCTCCCCGCAGGAAAGGAGGCCGTCATCGTGGCCAAGGTGAACGGGAAGGAGCTCCCGGGCAAACCCACCATCAAGTGGTTCAAGGGCAAGTGGCAGGAGCTGGACAGCAAGAGCGGGGCCCGCTTCTCCTTTAAGGAGTCCCACGACTCTGCCAGCGATGTGAGGACCGGGAGGGGCGTGGGCTGGGCGCGGTAGTGTGGGCCGGGTCTTGCTGCTCAGAGCCCTGAGCTGAGGCCCCGCTGTGGCCCCAGGGTGGGGGTTGTGCTGGGCAGGGGAGGAGGACGTGCGGGT